TTTTTACACATTTCAACCTCATTTGCAACTGGCCACTAAGCAGCCATTGTGGTTTAAACAACAGTCCCCTTTGGACACAGACATAGGAATCAAAGCCTTTCACACCAAATGCTGGGAAAGTCTGTGATTTCGTGAACTAAGAATGCACTGTTTTCTGTTCTCCATGTCTATGATTTTCACATTCCTGAGCACTGGCCAAGGGGGTTGTCCAAAATCATGTAAAACAGCATGACCATTGTTTACCTTTTTCTCCTTGTCAGTTTCAGCACTGACTCGCTCTTTTTGTTTTGCTTTGTTTAGAACAAGTAACAGGCAGTAAAGGAGCAAAATAGCAGGTCCCAATAGGGGTGACAAAATGATATCTTTTTCAGAGTTGAAAACAAGTGTTCAAAGAGAACTTTTACATGAATAGTCGTAGCAGCACTATTCACAGTGGCCAAAAGGTGAAAACAACTCAAATGTCCATTAACACATAAGCAGATAAATTGTGGTATATACACACAATGGGATATTATCCTGTCATAAAAAGAAATGATGTACTGATACAGGCTACAAAATTTGTGAACCTTGAAAACATTATGCTAAGTGGAAAAAAAAAATGGGCCAGACACAAAAGGCCAATATAGTATGATTCTATGTAAAATATCCAGACTAGGCAAATCCATAGAGACAGAAAGTAGATGAATGGTTGCCAGAGCTTAGGGAAGGTGGAATGGGGAGTGACTGCTTAATGTGTACGGGGTTTCCTTCTGAGGTAGTGAAAATGTTCTAGAACTAGATGGTAGTAATGGTTGCACAATATTATAAATGTACTGTCACTGATGGTAAATTTTGTTATGTATATTTTCTGTGTGTGTCAGACTGGTAATGTGTTGATGTTGTAACAAGGCTTGAGGGAGTCACATCTCACACATGCACGTGAAAACCCAACGATCATGCTTATAAACTCCAAAAGGATCATGTTATGTGGATCTTATCACACTTAAAAAACTTTCCGAGTAAAAAAGAGAAAAAAAATGTTTTCAGAGATCTTTGGGCATTAACTCAAATTAATAGTTACCCGAAACTCCCAAAACAGAAAATTAACCAATGAAGACATTGGTTACATAGGAGTATATATTTGTCAGAACTCCTTTAATTGTACTTAAGATCTGTCTTTCACTCTATGTACATTTTTACCTCACTAAAAATTTGGCCAATCAAAAGTAACAGAAAATGCAACTATACTACGTGCAAAAATAATCTATGAAGAGGTGATATTATGTTACCTACAATATTGAATTATACAGCTTCTGGGAATCCAGGTAGTCATAGACAATGCTTTGTGGAGCTCTGGGAAGCCTATCGTAAAGTTATTTAAATTACCACTGAATTCTAGAAGGAATTGCAACGTGGAGTTGCAATCAGGGTAGACGTTCAGTGTCCCAGAGGTCACGGCATGTTCCTGTTGCAGCTGCACCCAGATGTTCACAGTGGTGGAGACCTTGCTTCCCAGTAACACCAAGTCTGAATGTAATTTCACTGAATGTTCTTTGGCTATAGAGCAGTCAATAATGAGAAGTATCCACTGCAAATAAAATTATTTACAGTTGTCACATGGGGCTAGCTCATCCATCACTATATCCCTACTTCACCAGTGCATAATATGTAAAATCACATTGTATCTGACAAATGAATCAACAAAAGATTTTCTCCTATTTACATCAGAAGCATCCAGTAAAACCATTCCCAAACAAAAATTTAACATTTAACCAATATTTAACAACTTCACCAAATATGTCTTTATTTACTGAAATCTCGACACATAGAATTACAGTATCATAACTCTATTCTGTAAGCCCAGTTTCACATGAATTAGATTCCACAGTTCTTAAAAATCTCACTGAAATTAGAGGGTGATTGTGAAATCTTTTAGTTCCAAAGAAACTTCGTCTAGTTTTAGTCTTTGTTTGTTCCTTGCTAATACCAGATAGAAATAGGGTTATATGAATACCTTTTAAAATAGCGTAAGTCGGCCAGGCACGGTGGCTCACGCCTGTAATCCTAGCACTTTGGGAGGCCAAGGCAGGTGGATCACCTGAGGTCACAAGTTTGAGACCAGACTGGTCAACATAGTGAAACCCGTCTCTACTAAAAACACAAAAAGTTGCCAGGCGTGATGGTGCACGCCTGTAATCCCAGCTACTCAGGAGGCAGAGGCAGAAGAATTGCTTGATCTGAGAGGTGGAGGTTGCAGTAAGCCGAGATCATGCCACTGTACTCCAGCCTGGGTGACAGAGCAAGACTCTGCCTCCATAAATAAATAAATAACATGACATAAAAATAAAATGGCCTAAGTCTAACAGTCCCCCAAAAAAGGAAAAAAAATAGGGGCTGGGAGGGCTGGCTCATGTGTAATCTCAGCACTATGGAAGGTTGAGGGGGCAAAGGTCACTTGAGCCTGGGAGTTTGATACCAGCCTGGCCAAGACACCATTTCTACAAAAAGTACAAAAATTAGCCAGGTGTGGTGGTGTGTGCCTGTGGTCCCAACTACTTGGGAGGCTGATGTGAAGGAATCACTTGAGCCTAGGAGGTCGAGGCTGCAGTGAGCTGTGACCACGCCACTGCACTCCAGCCTGGGTGACAGAGTGAGACCCTGTCTCAAAAAATAAATAAATAAAAATACATAAAATAAATAAAATTACAAACTCTAGGTAAAACAAAAGCTGATAATGAAACTTAAAAGCATTTCTGAGCTCTGCAGTGAACAATGTTTATATTGTCATAATATAAATCCTGTTTATTAAATTTCAATTTTAATAATCTATAGTTAGGCTGGGCGCAGTGGCTCACACCTGTTATCCCAGCACTTTGGGAGGCCGAGGCAGGCGGATCACCTGAAGACAGGATTTCAAGACCAGCCTGGCCAACATGGTGAAACCCCGTCTCTACTAAAAATACAAAAATTAGCCAAGCATGGGGGCATGTGCTTGTAATCCCAGTTACTTGGGAGGCTGAGGCAGGAGAATCGCTTGAATTTGGAGGTTTAGTGAGCCAATATCATGCCACTACACTCTAGCCTGGGTGACAGAGTGAGACCCTGTCTCAAAAAAAAAAAGAGAAAGAAAAAAATCTATAGTTAGACAACATATAGATGTAATTTTGATTATAGGACAGAAAATAAGTGCTATTCACTTTGTCAATCTAAAATTAAATTTCAAATTATAGAAGTTGAAAAGTAAAAGGGAGAAGAACTCAAAGTGCGCGACAGGCTGATATTCTCGTCTCACGAAACAGGAACCAAGAGACACTACATAATTAATAGAATTAGAAGTAAAACTGTTAGCATATGACCAAAGTTACTGGAGCAGACACACTACGTAACCAATATTTATTCCCCTTTACTTCCTTGTAACAGGACCCTAGTTTTGTTCAGGATATCAATATGGTGTAATGATGATACGTAATGGATCATTCAGAAACCAGTGAATCTTAACCCTGGCCGCACATTGCAACCACCCAGAAGAGATTATAATTTAATTGGTCTAGGGCAAGTTTTCTCAAACTTGACACTACTGACATTTTGAACAGAATAATTCTGTGTTGTTGGGGGCCGTTCTGTGTGTTGTAGGGTGTTTTACACCACCCTGGCCTCTATCCACTTAGTGGTGGGAGCACCTCGCCCCAGTTACAAGAATCAAGACTGTACACAGACATTGCCAACTTGCCCTTGGTTGAGAACCACTGAACCTAGGATAAGACCATGTTCAGAGATGTACACTTAAAATATCCCTAGGAGATTCTAATATGTAACCAGGGTTGAGAACTATTGATATAAGCCAATTAGTCAATCCAGTTTCCTGTAGGATTTTTCAGGTTCCCTTGCATCTATGTGTGGTCATATGACTTAGTTCTGGCCAGTGAGATTTAAGTGGAAGTTTACTTTGCGAGAGGGTTTGTGAGAGGAAGTCTAAGAAAGCTTGTACTTTATTGATGAAAGGTGACAGACACAGCTTCTGTTTCTTGCCTATTCTCTTTTTCCTGTTTGTATGAAGCTGTGAATGTTTGGAGTTGTGGCCATCATCTTGTAATCAAATGAAGACAAGCATGAATATAAAAACTAGCCTGTTAAGGATGGCAGAGAGGAAAGACAGAAAAGGCATAAAATAAAAATTTTATTTAAATTTTTATTTTATTTTAAACTGAGTCCCTGCTGGCAGTTTTTGGCAGCTGAACCAACAATAAGCAGGACTTGTTAAGTGAGTACAAATTTCTTTGTGTTTAAGCTGCCATAGGCAGTTTTTTGTCATCTGAGTGAAAATCAATCACAATTACTACAGTTACAAATGTAATAAAAGGAAGAAGTAAAAACAGATACTCAACTGGTAGGATGGAAATGGGAAGGAGAGAGAATACTGTAAACAAGCTAAATCTTCATCTCTCATAACAGGAAGTATAAAGGGATAAATAAAAACAGTTGCATATACATATATCCAAAAGAATTGAAAACACAACTGCACACAAACACTTATATATGAACGCTCACAGCAGCGTTATTCATAACAGCCCAAGGTGGAAACAGTCTAAATGTCCATCAACTGACGAATGGATAAGCAAAATGTAGTCTATACATAAAATGTAGTCTATACATACATTACTTTATGACTAGCCATCATAAAGTAATGGGGCACTGACACACCCTACGACATGGATGAACCCTGAAATCACTACACTAAGTGACAGAAGCCAATCATACAAGGTCACATATTGTGTGATTCTATCTATATGAAACATCCAGAAAAGGTAAATCTATAGAAACATAAAGTAGATGGGCCTGGCGCGGTGGCTCACGCCTGTAATTTCAGCACTTTGGGATACCGAGGCAGGCAGAGCATTTGAGGTCAGGAGTTCGAGACCAGACTGGCCAACATGGGGAACCACCACCTCTACTCAAAATAAAAAACAGTAACCGGGCGTGGTGGTGCATGCCTGTAATCCCAGCTACTCAGGAGGCTGAGGTAGGAGAATCGCTTTTGCTCGGCCAGTGTGCTCCCGAAGCCGGCTGCGGGCCGAGAGCACCTCGCCCCAGTTACAAGAATCAAGACTGTACACAGACATTGCCAACTTGCCCTTGGTTGAGAACCACTGAACCTAGGATAAGACCATGTTCAGAGATGTACACTTAAAATATCCCTAGGAGATTCTAATATGTAACCAGGGTTGAGAACTATTGATATAAGCCAATTAGTCAATCCAGTTTCCTGTAGGATTTTTCAGGTTCCCTTGCATCTATGTGTGGTCATATGACTTAGTTCTGGCCAGTGAGATTTAAGTGGAAGTTTGCTTTGCTAGAGGGTTTGTGAGAGAAAGTCTAAGAAAGCTTGTACTTTATTAATGAAAGGTGACAGCCACAGCTTGTCCTGGATGTCCCGGATGCTGAGGCGGCTCCTGAGGTCCAACGCCCGGAGCTACAGCTCAGGGTTTCCGGTGATGCCGCCCCGCCCCGGCGAGTCCGCGCAAGTTGCCTGAGAGGAGCTGTCTGGGCGAGGCAGTTCCTGCGGGAGCACAAGGCCCCCTTTTCCGCCTTCCTCACAGACAGCTTCAGCTGGCAGCACAGCTACCTGCGGATCTCCCTCATGGAGAAGAGCAGCCTCATGTGTCAGTACTGCATGCCCGAGGAGGGGTCCCGCTGACCCCCAAGGTCAACCTGCTGATCACAGAGGAGATCCTGACCCTTGCCTGGCTCTTTGTGAAGGAAGGCGTGGAAAAAGTTCCGGCTCATGGGCGGTGAGCCGCTCATTCAGCCGGACATGGTGGACATTGTGGCCCAACTCCAGCGGCTGGAAGGGCTGAGGACCATCGGTGTCACCACCAACGGCATCAACCTGGCCCAGCTGCTGCCCCAGCTTCACAAGGCTGGTCTCAGCGCCATCAACATCAGGCTGGACACACTGGTGCCTGCTAAGTTTGAGTTCATCGTCCGCAGGAAAGGCTTCCACAAGGTCATGGAGGGCATTCACAAGGCCACGGGCTATACAACCCTGTGAAGGTGAACTGCGTGGTGATGCGAGGCCTTAACGAGGATGAACTCCTGGACTTTGTGGCCTTGACCGAGGGCCTCCCCCTGGACGTGCGCTTCATAGAGTACATGCCCTTTGATGGTAACAAGTGGAACTTCAAGAAGATGGTCAGCTATAAGAAGATGCTAGAAACTGTCTGGCAGCAATGGCCAGAGCTGGAGAAGCTGCCAGAGGAGGAATCCAGGACAGCCAAGGTCTTTAAAAATCCCTGGATTCTAAGGCCAGATCAGCTTCATCATGTCCATGTCTGAACATTTCTGTGGGACCTGCAACCGCCTGTGAATCACAGCTGATGGGAACCTCAAGGTCTGCCTCTTTTGGAAACTCTGAGGTATCTCTACGGGATCACTGCAAGCTGGGGCCTCCAAGCAGGAGTTGCTGAGAATCATCCGGGCTGCCGTGGGCAGGAAGAAGCGGCAGCATGCAGGCATGTTCAGTATTTCCCAGATGAATAACCGGTGACCCATCAAGTCACTTTTGATGTTCCACGATTCCCCACCAGCTAATCCAAGCATTTCCTCCTGGGACCCCCTCCATGTTCAGGGTCTAAGATCCAGAATGAGTTTCTCTAGCCAGATGGCCACTTTATGGAAAGGATACAGGGTTCCCCAGACCCCTCTTCTAGCCCAGCAGCAGCTAGGGTGTGGCTCCTTTCAGAGACACTACACTTCCCATGCAGACTCAGATGCCAACTCAAAGTGCCTTAGCCCAGGTTCCTGGGCTCCTGCTGCCCCCTCAGGACCCCAGTTAACCTCAGAACAACTAACGCATGTGGACTTGGAAGGATGGGAAGTTATGGTAGATGTGAGCAGGAAGAGCGGGTGGCTGTGGCCTCAGCCATGGTCCTCCTGGGGCCTGTAGCCTTCAAGCTTGTCCAGCAGAACCAGCTCTAGAAAGGAGATGCCCTGGTGGTGGCCCAGCTGGCTGGAGTACAGGCAGCCAAGCTGACCAGCCAGCTGATCCCTCTGTGCCACCATGTGGTCCTGAGCCACGTTCCAGGTGCAGCTGGAGCTGGACAGCACGTGCCATGCCGTGGAGATCTGGGCATCTTGCCGGACTCGGGGCCCCCACCAGGGTGGAAATGGAGGCCCTGACTTCTGGTGCAGTGGTCGCCCTCACTCTGTATGACATGTGCAAGGCTATCAGCAGGGACATCATGTTGGAGGAGATCAAGCTCATTAGCAAGACCGGCGGCCAGTGGGGGGACTTCCATCTGGCTTAGTTCCTGCCCTTCTCACCCATGGCCCAGCCAGGTCTGGAGATGGGATGCAATTTAAGCTGAGGGAAAAACATCAGTTTCCTTTAATCACAGTCACTGTTTACCTTGAGCACTAAACCTGAAGTCAGCCTGCTCTACTTCTAGGCCTGCTGCTAGATGATCTTTAGTGACTGATGGGGCTTCCTTTCTCTAGGGAGGATACCAGCAGGCCCTTAAGCCTTCCAGGACACTAAGGTCATGGGAGCTGGACTGCAACAAGCAATGCTAGATAACTGAGAAATCATGTTCTTTCTGGACTATTTCAGACAACCAGTCTCAGACAGTCCAGCCCAGAAATTTTCCTTCTCATGTTGGGTTTTCTCTTCTCCTACTTTCCTGGGGAGAGATTAAGGGCTCATTAAGCAGAGGAACCCACTTTGAGGACAGCAAAGCACAAGCTTGCCTGAAGAATGCATCTCCCCAGCAGCTCTGCCTCCCTAAGTCTGTAAAGCCACAGCCCTGCCCTGTCCTGACTTCATCTCTCCCTCTGCCCAAGTCTATGTCCCATCAAACTTGCAGCCTTTCAGCTTAACAGTTGCCTGGTCCTGTTGGCTCCCTTTCCTCAGGCCCCCTCCTCTGAAACAGGATGTGCACACGTGGGCCACAGCCCAAAGGACTCCTGGCGGACCACATAGCCCACACCTGGCCGTGCTCACGGCTGTTCCACCCACCTCTCTTTATTCTGGAGCATATCAGGGAAAGAAGAGTTGACGACAGATTGCCTTCACACTCGGCGCACAAATAAAGCTATGATGCCAACTTTGCAAATGCAATAAATAAATAAATAAAGTAAGTAGATGACTAGTTGCCTAGGGTTGGGGGAGGGGCAATGGGGAATGATTGCCTAATGGGTATGGGGTTTCCTTTTGGCATGGTGAAAACATCCTAAAATCAGATAGTGGTGATAGTTGCACAACTTTATGAATATACAAAACCCCACTGAATTGCACTCTTTAAAATGATGAATTTAATGGTATGTGAATTATACCTCATTAACTAAAAATTAAAAAAAAAAAAAACACCTACAGAAACAGCTCTATAAGCTGAGTATTAGAGGTATGGAAGGATCCACCAAAAGGCAAAGTTGAAAGACACTCCTTCTTAGGAGCAGGAAGAGGGCTTGGGAGGGCAATTGCTTTTCATTATTAGTCCTTCTGGATCCTTTGATATATATATAATTTTAAATGTGTCTGTATTACTTTGGTAAAAATTTTAAAGAAAATTTAAAGGAAAAAAGTGACATAAGAATCTTTCTTTCTTTGTAGCCTTGGATAAGCTAGCAACTGGTGTAAGCAATAAATTTTCTCTCTTATTTCCAGGCAAGCTGCCAAATTAAATCCCTTTCTTTTCCTGCTGATGTCTGCCAACGTGGTGTCAGAGACTGAAAACTAGCTTCTAAGTAAATAGGAAAAAAGAAAAATAAAAAGCACATTCTTAACTAAAATCACACATTTATAATTCTTCAAGCTCATGACTAACACAATGTTTTTCATAACCCTGAAAAAGTGAGAAGTATGTCATAACTCACAAATAACCTCTGAAACCATTTAAGAGCTTTTCAGCAAGAGAAAGGAGAGTGTTAAACAGCAATAACCTGTCACATCAATCCAGATCTAAATTCCAAACCAGTAGGACAAATGTACACAGCCACGTGTACATGAACTCTGCAGATATCAAAATAGAAGTTTATGCTTTCAACTGAGCAATCCATTTTTCTGGAGAGAACACTTTCTTCCTGCAAATGAGTATGAGAGGCCTCAAATCCAAGATTTCTGAGCAACTGCTCCTGAAGAATCCAGTTTCAACTCCTACAAAATGCAACTGCAACTTAGAAACAAAATGCAGGCATATTTTCTTTTTTCTTTCTTTCTTTCTTTTTTTTTGAGACAGAGTCTCGCTCTGTCGCCCAGGCTGCTGGAGTGCAGTGACGTGATCTCGGCTCACTGCAACTTCTACCTCCCAGGTTCAAGTGATTCTTCTGCCTCAGCCTCCCAAGTAGCTGGGGTTACAGGCACCCGCCACCACGCCCAGATAATTTCTGTATTTTTAGTAGTGATGGGGTTTCACCATGTTGGTCAGGCTGGTCTCAAACTCCTGACCTCGTGATCCACCCGCCTTGGCCTCCCAAAGTGCTGGGATTACAAGCATGAGCCACCGCACCTGGCCCTTTCTCTATTTTCTTTTCTTTCTCTATTTTCTTTTCTTTCTCTATTTTCTTTTCTTTCTCTCTTTCTTTCTTTCTCTCCTCTCTGTCTTCTTCTTCCTTTTTTTTTTGACAGGATCTCACTCTGTCACCCAGGCTGGAGTGCAGTGGTGCGACCTCGGCTCACTTTAACCTCTGCCTCCCAGGCTCCAGCGATCCTTCCAGGTAGCTGGGACTACAGGTGTGTGCCACAACACCCGGCTGATTTATTTATTTATATATATGTATATTTTTTGTAGAGGCGGGGATTTTCTCATGTTGCTCAGGATAGCCTCGAACTCCTGAGTTCAAGCAATCCACCCACCCCGACCTCCCCAAGTGTTGGGGTTACAGGCGTGAGCCACTGCACCCGGTCTCGCACACATTTTCATTAGGTGCCCTCTGATGTCAGCAGCTGGTTGAAGGTTTAATGGTGTAGAGCGCGGGCAGAGTGGGGTGGGAACTTGTGTGTCTCACCCCTGCCCCACCCCGCTTGGGTTTCCCTGCAGTTTCCACCAGAGTCATAAGCAGAACCTAAAACAAATGGGTTTAGAAGTAACTTTAGCCTCTTTGGCTACTTCTGGTGCTCACCGAATCCAGAAAAATGTTCTTTTTTAACGTCCTGTTATTTTGCACAAACGATTTCCTGCTTAAGAGTGAGGAGCAAAACCTCTGGCTTTTAACTCTGCCAAAGACCTACTTGAAGTCAATCTGCACTTTTTTAATTTTTTAGGCGCAGCAAAGTCTTATCTCATTCTATCTGCATTTTATAACAATCCCACATTTTGTCTCTACTTTCCTCAAGCATTCTAACCCTTCCGTGCCCTCGCTGCCAGCCACCCACTCAAGGGAACTTCACACACTCAAGAGCGACAGGGGCTGCACAGAAGAACCTGGCAGCTGTTCAAAGCCTTCAGTGCCTAATTTCCCACCAAGAGCAAGAAGGACAAGGCTTCTTCCCTGAGGCCTCCTCTTGCCAATCCTCACTGGATTCTTAGTTCCTGCCTCAGTGTTATTTTCTCCAAGCAACACAGCAAGTGAGGCCCGATGGGTCTGGAAGGCTTACACGGCCCAAAGGGGCAATGACGGTGGGCTTCAGAGCTGTGGTTGAGAGTCCGGAGGATTTCAGCCTGGATTTCACATACCATCCTCATCATGAGGAAGGAAGCAGCTCCCATATGGGAGCTGGGAGGTGGGCTGGCTGCCGAAAGCACCAGGTTCACCTCCTGAGGGTTCACATTCGTGAAAAAGTTTCTCCTTCTCACTAACTGGATCCTATTTGGCCTGGTTTGAGTCATGTGTTCATCCCTGGGCCAATCACTATTGCTTGATGGAAGGATTCTGATAGGCCACATCCAAGTCACATGATCATGTTGAGTCATGTGCTCATCTCTGGACCAATCACTGTGACCTGGTGGGCAGATTCTAATAAGCCAGGCCCAAGTCACATGATCACCCGCCTGATTGTGGGGGCAGGAAGTCAGGATTGTAGTTACCAAAAGAAGGGGAGTGAGTCTCCGAGAAACAAGAACTGTGCTTTCTCTACGTATATCTACTCAAAAACAGCAACAGCAAACAAAAAATTAGAAGGAAGGTTGAAGACAAACACTAGGAGCATAAAAGTCTCTCCTACTGTCTAGACAGATGCGTCCTTAGGATCGACCTCTACATACCATTTTGTAACTTGCTATTTTTACTTATTTGTTGAGGACTTAGTATATGCAGTGCTCTAATAAAGTTCAGCACAGAGGATGCACAGAAAGGCTGGGAAAAAAGGTAAGTGCAGCTAGGTGCGGTAGTTCACACCTATAATCCCAGCACTTTGGGAGGGTGAGGCAGGAGGATCGCTTGAGGCCATGAGTTCAAGGCCAGCCTGGGCAACATAAGAAGATGCCTGTCTCTAAAACACTAAAATAAAATAAACTAGCCAGTGTGGTGGCACATGACTATAGTTCCAGTTACTCAGGAAGGTGAGGCGGGAGGATCACTTGAGCCCAGGAGTTCCATGCTGCAGTGAGCTATGATCATGACAGAGCGAGACTGTGAGTCTTTAAAAAAAAAAAACTAAACACATTTTTTAAGCTTTTAATATAAATGACCAAACTGTACCCAGAGGGATTTCATCTTTGTATACCTACTCACTGTGCCTAGACTTCCCTACCCACCGGCCTCAGTTAGCACAGCCATGGAACCATCCTCCCACAGAAGACAACGCTCAGACATCTCTTTCTGGGAAGGCCTTTTCAGGAGGCCTCAACCTCCAATTCGAGTCTCAGGCTTAAAAATTGAAAAGGCTGGAAAATGTCCATCTTAGACCCTTTCACCCCCTTATTGGAGGCCCTGTGCCCCCTCTGATGTCCTTCTCTCCTGTTCCCCTTCAGGTGTTGGCCAGAGATAGCTTAAAGCAAGAACTGTTCAGGACCATTTAAGGTTTTTAATATCAGAGCTTGGGAAGACTTACTGGTGGAATTTCAGGCATCAGGACCCACAGTGGAGGAAATCCTGTAATTTGATGTCAGGCTGACTTGGGTTTCATCCCCAGCCTTACCACTTATTAAGTATGTAGCTTTGGGCAAAATACTGAACGGATCCTCCAGTTATTTTGAGGATAAACTTGAAAGTATTGCTATATTTTAAATACCCATCAAATGATCTGGTTTAAAGTCAGCACCCGGTAAATGTATTGTTGCACTGTGACTTGCTTTGCTGTTTGACCTTTGCCAAATCCCCGTGTCTCTGGACAATGAGGGTTGAATGAGATGTTCCGCCTGTTCTGAGAGCCTGGGATTTCTGAGTGC